CTCCGCTCCCGGCGGCTCCGCGCTGCGGCCCCGGCTGCGCCGCTTCCAAAACACACAGGCGGCTCGCGGGCCATCAATCAGCCAGCTCCAGCGGGAAGGGACGGGCCGGGCCCCACGGCCAGCGCCGCCTCTCCCGGGCCGAGTAAATACAACTCTGCCAAAAAGAAAGGAAGAGGCAACCGTGGGGATGGATTCTCCAGAAGAAGAAGGCTGGGGGAGGCCCGGAGGGCAGTTGGGGTGACAAAAACCAAGCGTGGGCTGAGTTTTTCAGGACCCTTCCCATCCCATCCTGTTGGGGCGGTCTTTCTTTGTGCCTTTCTGGTCCCTGGCATCGCCCACCTGGCACAGAGATGGACAGGGCGGCTCCCCGCCTGACGGGGCTTTTCTTGGGCGCCCTGGGACACCCCACCCCCAGGGTAAACCTCTCCAGGGCTGGGCCTGCCACTGGAGCGCAGAGGACCGCCTGCCGCAGCCTTTGCTCAACAAGCCTGCCTGGAAATTTAGCAAATTTGGGTGTAGATCCTCTCTCTCCCAGCAAGGACCCTGGGCCCGCGGAAGGCCACTGTCAGCCAGGCGACCTTTCAAGCCCTTGTCGCTTCCTTGGTACCGAGCTCAGTGGCCTTCAAGGCGCCCTGAGCGGGGTGGCGGAAGCACGCTGTCCTAGTCAGGCCCCTTGGAATACTCTGCTGAGCTTGGTCCTGGAGTTTAGTGCCTTTTGATTTTCTTTTTAAACAGTATTAATGTAATAAAGAATGCAATAAAAAGAACAAAGGACAAATTGGTTCAATTGTTTTTTAGTTCTGTGTAATGTTTAAAAACGCCCCGGCTTCAATCTATGGCTTGTTATTGCTTCAAGATGTTTTAAAGGCCCTTTAAGTTCACCATTCTGACTTTGATGCTTCATGCAGGCATGGTACTACTTAAAACGTAGAGCTGTAGAGCATTTGAGCCCCGTCGTGTAGCTACACAGCATTATAAAATTAGTACCCGGTAACCTCAAGTAGTGAAATTGCGTATTGTAAATAACGTCGATACATAAAAGATCATGTGGAAGGCAGCCAGAAGTAACGCTGCTTCAGATGCTATCATTTAAAGATTAATCTTTAGAATATAAAAGGATGAGAGAATTTTTTTTATGGTTTGTGTTGTGGTTCTCCCCTCCCCCCCCCCATGACTGAAATACAAACGCAAGGTGGGGGTAGCTGGATGCAAGTGACTAGCAGTGCCTTGATTACCAAGATTAACTATATGGATATCTTGAGTTATATTTGTTGGAAAGACTATATTGAAGATGATAGGTTTGCTTGGATTTCAGTGCCTGGCCCATAGCCTCTGTCTGTCTTTTTGAGGTAGATGGAAAAACGACTCTTAGCTGATCCTCCATCAGTTTTCTGGAAGTACATGGCTCTAGAGCTCTTTCTCTCCCGCAGAGCTGTTTGTAGAACCCAACCTCTGAGTTAGCTTCGCCACCTGACCCTTGGCTCAGTGTTGTTGTTGTTGTTGTTGTTATGTCTCATCGAGCAGAACCAACTCACAGCTGAACCTCCAACGGGTTTTCAGGACAATAAATCACTTGGGAGGAGATGATCCATCTTTCTCTCACAGAGCAGCTTGTATTTCAGAACTACCTGCCTTTGGGTTGACAGTATAACTCCTTAACACTTGTTGTTAGGTTCCCTTGAGTTGAGTATGAACCATAGTTGACCCTATGAACAACAAATCTGAATCCTGCCCGATTTTGTGCCATCCTTATACTTCCTGACACAGAGCCCATTGCAGAAGTCACTGTGTCAATTCACCTGGTTGAGGGTCTTCCTCTCCTTCGCAGACCCTATATCCTTCTCTAAGAAATACCCCCTTCTTGCAACATGCTCAAAGTATGTGAGAAGAACCCTCATCATTTTTGCCTCCAAAGAGCACTCAGGCTGCTCCCTCTCCAAGACATATCTGTTTGTTCTCTTGGCCGTCCGTGGAATGTTCAGTGCTCTTCTCTAACACCACAGCTCAAAGACGACAGTTCTTCTGTCATCCTTACTCACGTCTTTATCACTAAGCGCACAAAATTTATAGATTTCACTCATGAGAGCGAGTGATGAGAACTTAAAATACATGCGCTGTGTTTGTTTGGGTGTAGACCTCAAAAGAAGATTGAAATAGGTCTATTTTTTTTTAAAAAAAATGTGACCAAAGATTAGTGGAGAGTGAGTTATTTTGATGTTGGAGGCAAGGGAAGAAGTACATTTTTAAAGATTGAAAAATTAGTGTGGTTTTCAGTGCCCTGTGGGAGGTAGCTTAGATGCAACATGTAAAAAAATGTTTCCGGTGGTACGGGATCTAGCTCAGTGAAGCACCTACCCACAGTTGCCTCCAGGTGAAACCAGAGCTGTAAGACTATCCATTTTCATGCACCACCCGCTCTCCCCAGTCCCTGCCCAAACAGTTACAGACACTCAAAGGCATTGCTGTAGGGTGGCAATCTCCACATCCCTGACCCTCTGTTGGGTTTTCTGGAAGTAAATCGCTCTGGAAGGGATTACGCATTGCGCCCTTGGGTTGACAGCACAACACACCTTACCATTCGCTGAGCAAAATGTACAGATTTCACTTGTGAGAGATCGTGAGGAGAACTTAATGTATGTGAACTATATTTTATGTTGTTGGTTTGGGTGTGGACCCCCAAAAGAAAACTGAAATAGGTCTATTAAAATAACAGAGAACAGAACCACCTTTTAGAGTAATAACTCTCCATCAGAATGCCTGTGCATTTCCTCGTAGGTTGATGGAGTTCTGGACCTTCACCATTACTACCCACCTCCCGGCCACTTACCCAGGTCCAGACATTTGCCACAGTGTCTTGTTGGCCTTGTGTGTAAGCGGCTGGAGCGTGTAGTAGGGATTGGAGCAAACACTTAGTTTGCTTGGGGACTCTCGTAGGGAGAGTTCCACTACCCGAGCTTTTCTTGCCTTTTTTTTTTTTTTTTTAAATAGACTGTTTTGTTTTGGTCTTCTGCTTGGGGTTCACACCCAAACCAACAACAGAAAATATAATTCAGGTATTTTAAGTTCTCATCACTCTCTCTCATGAGTGAAATATGCTATGGATCGCACAGTACACAACAGCAAGGGTAAGGAGTTGTGCTGTCAGCCCTGAGGCACCTGGTTCTAAGCTCCTCCACAGGACAAAGATAAGCATTCTCCTCCCCTGTGATTTATAGCCTCTGAAAACCCCAGCTAGAGAGTCAACCATGAGTCAATTCCGGCTGGGCTGCAGCAGATGTCAGTGTTTTCGGTGTTGAAATGCAGACCTCAAAGTCCCTTTACTAGCTTTGCTTAGGATAAAGTCCAAGCACTCTCTGCCCCTGGCCATCTAACCTATCCATCATCCCAGACTGGTCTTGCCTGTTTTCCTTCCCAGCTCTCTTCATCAATGCTGAACTTCTTTCCATCCTACAAGTACACTCTTCCCACCTCTAGACTTGTGCACCCCAACCTCAAGGTACACAGTTCAAATCCACCAGCTGCTTAGTGGCGGGAGAATGTGGAACAATATCTGTCTGTGTGATTTACAACCTCCAAGAACCCATGGGAGGGTCAGCGATGGGTATCAGTGGTTTTCAGCTCAATGGCATGCAACAACAGCAACATTTTACTGGCTGAAGAAACCTTCCTGCCTTCTCCAATTTCTGATCTCCATTCTTATAACAGTTTCTCCAAAACCTCTGAGAGTACTACTGAGAAGCAACGGTGTCAGTCTAGAAATTAAGGTGCACCCGATCCAGGCCATGGTCTTTGTAATTACTTGCTGTGCATCAGAGAGCTGGACAGTGATTAAGGATGACAGAAGAAGAATCAATGCCTTTGAGTTGTGTTGGAGAAGAGTCTTGAGCATACCATGGACTGCCAAGAAAACAAATAGGTCTGTCTCAGAGAGGGTGAAATCAAGTTTCACCTTGGAGGCTAGGATTTTGAAGATCCATCTCACATATTTTGGGCACATGGCCAAGGAGGGACCAGTCCTTGGAGAAGGACATCTTGCTTGGAAGGGTAGAGGAACAGTGCAGGAGAGGAAGACCCTGGATGAGACTGATTTATAACAGTATCGGGGCAATGGGGATAGGTCAGTGTGTGTCAGTGAGGTGGGCTTAGTACAGGGCAGGCTTCAGAGCTGTTGTATGTATATAGGGTCATTATGAGTCTCAGGCAACTAATGGCAAATAACAACAACTTCCTCAATCTCCTACATCACCTGAGGGCAAGGTGTCACATTCAGATGACACCTGAGGCTCACCTCCCATAATACTTCTTTCCTCTGAATGACCACTCCCTAACACAAGAATGGAAACTCTGAGAGCAGGGACTGTTTCTCTTCAGTAAAATGGTATTCCCTGGTGCCCAGGTGCTCAATGAATGTGTGTAAAGTGAG